GAGGAGGGACGGAGGGACGAGGAGAAGGAGGAAGAGCGCGTGCGCGCGGGTTCGGCGGCGCCACGCGGCCGCGCACGTAGAGCGGCGCGAGCGCGTTGCGTAAGCGGCGGCGGCGGCGGCGTCGTCAAGGGGAGGAGGGGGGGAAGGAAGGCGCGCGTGCGGCCCGGGAACGGGGGATCCCGGTGCCCCCCCCCGGGAATGGGATCTACGGGAACGGGTCGTCCAGCCCGGGGAGAGATGGCGTGACAGAGCCCCGTACCGGGGGGTCCCGCGGTACCCGGTACAGAGGGGGCTCGCACGGTGCACCTCATTAACGGGGGCTCCTGTGGCAGCCGGTACAGAGGGGGTTCGCACGGTGCACCCCGTTAACGGGGGCTCCCGCAGCACCCCGTATGGAGGGGGCTCGCACGGTGCACCCCGTTAATGGGTCACCTGGCCTGGGGAGAGTGACACGGTGCACCCCGATAACGGGGGCTCCTGTGGCACCCGGTACAGAGGGCGCTCTCACGGTGCACCCCATTAACGGGGGCTCCCATAGTAGCTGGTACAGACGGGGTTTGCACGGTGCACCCCGATAACGGGGGCTCCCGCAGCACCCCGTACGGAGGGGGCTCACACGGTGCCCCCCGTTAATGGGGGCTCTCACAGCACCCGGTTAAAGGAGGCTCCTGTGGCACCCGGTACAGAGGGGGTCCACACGGTGCACCCCATTAACGGGGGTTCCCGCAGCACCCCATATGGAGGGGGCTCGCATGGTGCACCCCGTTAATGGGCTAGTCGGCCCGGGGGGGGGGGCGCTCGCACGGTGCACACTTTGCAGGTGCCCTGAGGGGCTTAGAAGTTGCACTGGGGGTCCCAGCGCGCCCAGGTGGGAGGGGGGTGGGATGGTGGGAGCCTGGGCCAGGCTCTCACCACCCTCAGAAGGAAAAATTCCTTCCTAAATCTCATCTCCATCTCCCCACTTTCAGTGTCAAACCCTTCCCCCTCCTCCTAGGGCTCCCCTCCCTGATCCAGAGTCCCTCCCCATCTCTCCTGGAGCCCCTTGAGGGACTGGAAGGGGCTTGAAGGTCTCCCCGGAGCCTTCTCTTCTCCAGGCTGAACCCCCCAACTCTCTCAGCCCCCCCTCCCAGCAGAGGGGCTCCAGCCCCCCCAGCATCTCCATGGCCACCTCTGGCCCCATCCAACAGCTCCATGTCCTCCTGATGCTGGTGGCCCCAGAGCTGGAGGCAGCACTGGGGGGG